AATATGTTGTCTAAATGAATTAAAGGGTAATAAACACTCACCTGGTTGATCACCCTTGCTCTTATGACTCCTGTGACCAAAACGGCGGAGTCAGTTTCTAACTTCAAGATTTGTTTGGTCAGTAACCTTTCAAGGTGCTGACCCTCTTTTATTTTCTTATTTTAGAATAAAATTAAGCATCTGGGTCCAGTTTAGGGGAACAAAAATTCCTGACATGAGAATTTCATTGTTCTTTTTTCCATTAAAATGCTAATTTACATTAAATTAAAAAGGTTGTTTTCAGTTTTATTTTATATGGTGGCACATGGTAGTGGCAGCATCATGGTGTGCAATTGCTTTACTTCGGCAAGAAAGTTGCAAAGCTGTAATGTTATGTTTCAGACCAGATTCCTTCCATGTGTAATTGTTGCCTAAAGTATTTCATCTTTTAATCCATCTAGCTTGAATTTGTTTTGGCTGTTTTGTAAACCCATGGCAAACAATTTCAAGTAATGTATTCAAGCTATTAGAGGCCATGTCTGTTTTTCCATTTTTTCCCCCTATCCTATGAAGTGCTTGCTGCATTCAGGCATTGGCCCATGTGGAAACTTAAGGGAAGCAGGCTGCTGCATGCGCAAATCTTGCATCCACCAGACCCCTGCAGAGAGAGGCAAGGACATATGCATGAAGCTAGTTTTAGCATTTTTAGAGCCTCCTTTTGATACATTTGTATCTCTTTGATGTGGTTTCATTTTAATGTCTTGTTGATTTATGAGTCTTTTTAATAAACTGCTGGGTTTCAGGGGCCATGTAAACAGAAGCCCCAGAAATGTGATCCTGTTGGCTATTTCACTCATCTCTTCAGGCACCTGAGGCTACACATTCCCTCAAAAAAAGAGCTGATTTTAATCATCTCTTATCAAAACCTACAGATTTATTTTTTATTTTATTTAACCTTTATTTAACCAGGGAAAAAAAATCCTATTGAGATAAAAAAAAAACTATTTTTCAAGGGAGTCCATGGCCAAGAGGCAGCAAAGTTACATAAGAAACATAGATCAAAATAATTTAAGTACCTTTATTATTTACAAATAATAAAGGTACATAAAAAAAAAACATGTCAACTAAAACAACTACAGATATTTGAGGTTGCTTCTAATTCTTTAACTTACAACTTAAAAACATTTTAAGATAAAAACTCAGTCAACTTCCAGTTTATCTGTAAAATATTCAAGGTAAAAATTTCCAATAAATATAGCTGATGCTCAGGGAGTATATCATTCCCTTTAAAAATCTTGATGCCCCATTAACTATTATAATTTTTGGGACAGACCTTCACAAAAACACTACAGGCCAGGCCAGGTAGCATTAACCCGTGGTCACTGGATGAGCTGCAGAGATCCAGGGCTCAGGTGTGAGAATCTGTCAGCCACAAACCTAGAGTTTAAGGGAAGGTGGCAAGAGGAAAGGCAGAAAGTCATTTCAAGGCCACTATGTAGGAAACGCAGCAGATAAAAGATAAAAGTATGTGTGGAAGAAAACCGATACAGGCACATAACCATCTTCATTTTGAAATATGGTGGTGGTTGCATCATACTGTGTTTTTCTTTTTCTTTTTTGCCTTGACAATAGGTTTGTTTCCATCAGCTTTTTCTAATCCTCATTTTGAAGTATTGCATTAGAAAAGCTTGATGGAAACAGCAAAATGTGAGAAAAAACTCCCTTAAGATTGCAAAAAAATTTTTACACTCAATTGAGGTTTTTTCTGGTTCTTGCCAGCTGATAAGGGGATGGAAACACCTTTTTTCAAATCAGTTCTGACGTAGCAAACTTTCACTCACATGACCGATCAGCTGTTTCTAAGGTTAGCGTCTTCCTGAATGTTCCTATTATGCGCATAGAAATGACTGGAAGCAGCATCGCCATTACTAACCGACATGTTAACATGAGGACAACTTGCCCAGGTACAACATATTCATTAAAGATTTTTCTCATTATTGATCTTTGCTCCATAGATTTACAGCCTCTACTTCCTGTAAACTTTAACCATGTCTGATGCCTAATAGAATAATAATAGAACTTTATTGGTTTCACATCGGAAAGATTTACCTCTGCATTTAACCCATCCCCTTGGGGAGTAGTGGGCTGCCATTGTGGGGCGCCTGGGGAGCAATCAGGGGGTTAAGGGTCTTGCTCAGAGACTCAGGGGGTTGCTCAGAGTGGCAGTCTGTGGGAGTGGGGCTGGAAGTCAGAACCTCAGGATTCCAAGCTATATGCCCTGACCACTAGACTACCACTCCTATGGACAAAGACGTTGAACAGCAACATGCTTTGCCGTGTAATTCGCTTCCAATCAAATGGAAGCGAATTGCAAATTTGCATTTCTTTTTTTCTGCAACTTTTAAAAGTTTTGTTAAAATTCGAATTTCAGTTGAATGGAAACACGCCTAGAGAAAGGGAAGCAGGTCAGAGATAATTGGAAGATATCTCTGAGCTAAAGTGCAATCATAAACTTAAACTATCATGTAGAGAAAAATGGGTAAAAAGTCAGTCTGCATGTGCCAGGCTGGTAGAGAGCATGAAACAAAATCCAGGGTAACAGTTCATGATTTAAAACTAATATATTAATAGCCCCAAACCTATGTCATTTAGTTTAATTCAATTTTAAACTGTTCAACTTAAAAAATATATTTGTATTTTTAAAATGTTCGTTTTATTTACCTAAAACTTAAAATCTTCCTTACCATGTGAAAGAAGCAACAGAATTAATTAGTTGCTAAATAAATATCTAATAAAAAATATATTCTTTGAAATATAAGGGTCAATGTATATTCATAATAAAACATTTTTTACTTCTTTTTTACTTTAAAATCAGCATGGCAAGTTTTAAACAAATCAGAATTAGATTAAAACTGAGAAATTCAGCTGTTATTATTTTACATCTGGTTAAAAATCTAATTTATATAAAACTGTGATCCTATAGCAATAACTGAAGTAGCCAATTTAGACTTAAAAAACCACCTTTTAATATATTTATATATATTTTTGTTTAAATTTCCTTTTCCTTTTAATATATCTATATATTTTTTATATATTTTTTATTTTTATTTTTTATTTCACGGTAGCTGTTATGGAAGTCCCAAATCTCATTGTATCTGTCACAGAATATAATGACAATAAAGGCTTTTTGACTTTTGACTTTTGACTTTTATTGTTGTTTCGTATACACAGTGTGTTCCTTTTGTACAGCTTTCAGGCGGTAAATGAGGAGCAGCTTAACAGTGAAATTAACATTTCCATTTCATAAACTGCAGCAATGACCAAATGTAAACAGTGTGTGGGAAAAAACATGGTGCAAAATACGTATATTTAAAGTTTTTATTGTAATTTTAATGTATAAATCATAATTAAAACAGAATTCTAAAGAAAAAGGTGTTCTGTGACAGCACATATCATCATTAGAATATCTTATATTATATCTTCATTACATGAACCATCACAGGAGTCAGGGCCAGTTCTACAGGTGCAGCTGTAAGATGCTCCTATGTTTATAGAGATAAAAAAAGAATGAATTGGCAAAGAATAAAAAAAACATGTATAAATTTTTTTCCTAGATGATCTTAACAATATTCAATCGGAGGATGTCCTGATTTATTATTCAATAGAATTTGCATTTAATCAAATGACATATTAAAGTTTTTATTGCCTTCATTTGCAACCATATTCTTCTTCAACGTTTTCAGGCCAAGAACCCCCAAACTGATGGTGAGATGGAGCGGGGACGCCCTAATTATATATATTGTATGAAATTGTTTTATATCAAACTGGTCCTGTAGTCACTCTATTACGGACGGAGTAATGTAACGAAAGTAATTTCACCCTGGGATTATTAAAGTATTTCTGATTCTGATTCTTGGATGATGGGACAGGTGTTGTGAATGAAACGGTGCCCAGCTTGAAAGACCTCTTGTGTGTCGCTGAATGTGTGCATTGATGACTGAAAGACATCTCCTGCCTCTATTTATCTGTTAACGTCAGTGTGTTAAATTCATGTTAATGTGGATTTAAAGACCTTTTAATTAGTGGAGAAAAACTGCAGTGGGGCTGTAGTGACTATTTGTACATAACTTAAATAAAAAAACGTAAGACTTAAAGGTGACCCAAATAGCCAACTGATGCACCATGGATTCCGGCTTACGCAGTTCAAAAAGACTAAACAGGGTCAAAATCCAGTTCTTTGCATGCTTTATTCTCCGTACAGACAAACAAGTTACAGGCTTCACAGGATTCTTCTATTGCTCTCACTCTGATTCCTGCACATATTCTTTGAATGACTGACTGATTGATTAACTGGCTGATAACTGAGTACTGGCAAAAAAAAAATAAATAAAACATATGACCACCCACGTGCATAATGTAAAACACCACATCCCAAACCAAAATTAATTAACTTATTAAGTGAATCGATAAACAAAACCTATTCTAAATAACAAATCAAAATAAATAATCCAAAGTCTAAGATTTAACTAAAAATTGATAAATAGCTCCCAGAGGGGCATATGAAAAAAAGTCTACTGAACCAAAATTTTGTGATTGTGGACCCCTTGTTAAAGACCACCGTCCTAGAATATTTGTCCATTTCCTGCATACGTATGCTGTTGTGATGCCACTGGCTCCCAGGTTACCAAACAGGCAGAGGACACAGTGGATCCAGCTCCACTCAATAGTTTTTAATGGACCATGCTGCTGTGATCAGCCAATGACAGGAACGGCGGGGAAACACTACAGAGAGAGCGCCAGTGGCAGCATGAACACAGCCAGCCAATGTGCAGCAGGGAAGGGCAGAGGAAGGGGAGGAGGAGGGCAAGGCAAGGCAAGGCGAACAGCAGAGGTAGGGGATGGGGGCGGAGTCTCTCCCTCAGAGCGCCTGCCTTCATGTGTTTTCCTCGCTCAGCCCTCCCCTATCCATCCTCCCCCCCACCCCCACCGCTGCTGCCCCTCTCTCCTCCTCCTCCGCCCCTGAGTGTGGAGCAGCAGCAGCGGTGGAAGCCTCACTGCCTCTCCTCGCCTCAGCAGTGCGGGAACCACAGCAGCAGGGAGAGCAGAATGGATACGGAAGGGAGCCAGAGCAGCCTGTCGTCCGGCACGGATAACTCCCCCCACGACCCCTGGTAAACGAGCCGCTCCGAAGCCCCTTCGCTTTCTTTTCTTCTTTTATTTTGGAGCCGTTTTTTATTTTTTGAGTTCACCTTGGACTTTAGTGGAGTTCCGCGCCGAGACAAAAGACGAGCACGCTGCTTGAGCGCGTGCGCGCGCGTCTCTCTCTGAATGGATCCGCGCACCGGAGGAGACGCAGACGCACCGCTTCTTTCCGCCTGCCTCCCTCTCCTTCCTCCTCATCCTCCTTGTTTGTTTATTTACCGTTCCTCCAAATAGCCTCCCCGCAACTTCTCCATCATCTCCTTTTTTATTTTATTTTATTATTATTATTATCTCTCCCTCCTCCTCTAGGGGATTATAACGGCCCGGCTGGCCGATGGGTGACTTCGCAACATGGCCGATGCTTTCTTCTTTACTTTACTGATTTCACAGAAAGAAAAAAGACAAACAAACCCAAAAAATCCTCCAGATTTCCACCCTAAATGTGCTCTGTTGTGTTTTGACTCCTTCTTGTGTTTTTCTCTCATTCAGCAAAATGTTCATCGGGGGTCTGAGTTGGCAGACAACACAAGGTGAGCTGTCCCGCACTCTACTTTACCACCGTCTGGATGAATCCTCCATCTCTATGAGCGCACAGTAGCTTCCCTCAAGTTAAACACTATGATGAAATAAAAAAAGGAGGCTGCAGCTCGCTGAGGATCAGCTCTTAGGATTTAAGACTTGCAGAGACGCAGGAGATTAACCGTGGAAATCGCGCACACATTCAACCAGACTTGTCTGCTCCCCCCTCCTCCTTTTTTCTCTTCCCGCATGTGCGCTCTTTTACGCATGTAATAACAGAGAAGAGGGGCTCTATTCAGATAAATACACGCATAAATAAAGTTATTGATTATTTAGAGTCAAAGCTGAAGTTGTGCGCCTCCTACTTTCCACCCCCCCTAAACGTTGCATTTATTCTAGGAAACAAACATGCATGCACTTTATTCTAGTTAGCCGTGTTATTATCCCACAGATGCTGCTACTCTAAACCTGCAATCTTGTATTTTTGCTTTTTTTTGTGGCCCTCGTTGTAATCTGGGAGGTCTGGAGGGACACAAACACAACGTGGTCCACCCCATTGTTTCTCTCCGGCCACCCCAGCAACACATGTGTGTGTGTGTGTGTGTGGAGTTTATTGAACAGTTTTCTTGTCCTGTCTTCTGCAGAGGGCTTGAGGGAATACTTCTGCAAATTTGGCGAGGTGAAGGAGTGCATGGTGATGCGGGATCCCGTTACCAAGCGGTCGAGGTAAGAGAGGAAAGGAGGCGTGTGCGCCCCGCCGTCCTATCACTGGATGCCTCATGGTCTGCTTTCCACGCATAGTCTCCAGGGGCGCCCCTAGAAACTTTCAAACGGGGTTAATCAGATGGTGACCATGCCTTCATATGAAAACAATAACAGAATTAGGTATATTTGTTCTGTTTGAAAGAATTTAATAGAAGCTGTAAAATCAGCCTGTTGCTGCACACTACAGGTCAGCTGGCTTCAAGAAGGAAGTGATTTTGCTTGTTTTTTTAAGACAAATTGGCTTATTTGGAAATATTTCTTTAAGAAGGCACAACATTGGATTTTAAAGTTAAAGTAGGTGCACTTGGTATGCGACTAGCAGCTTGTGCTCTTGTGTTTTTTCCATATACAATTAATTTAAAATTTGCAATACAAATTGTTTAAATAAGCCTTTCTTATGTAGAAAGATGAATCTCTTTAGATTATTCAATTAGTTAGATAATAATCGGTAGATTAATCAATTACTAAAATAATCATTCGATTAAATTATTGCTAATAGCAATCCTAGCTAAAATATTGATTAATTATGACATAATCTAATGTTTCTCCAGAATGTATTAAAAACATAAGATGGAACATGGTTTGGGACGCTGCCTGGAGGCCACCTGTAACAGTGAAGTTTGCTTTTAGCTTTAATTCCGACAATGATCTGCTATTCTCTTCATATGTTTGTGATTCAAACTGAAAATAACATTTTAAGGTACAGCTAGATAATCAAAAGGAAAACTGTGCCCTCTGTGGAGTATGGTGGAGGCAGTATCATGCTCTGGGGTTACTTTTCTTCCGATGGAGCAGATGTTTTTGTCAGTGAGGCTAAAGACACAGATATCACCCGGTTTTCTCTCAAAAACATTCATCTGAAGGTCGACCTTCAATGGCTGACTGTATGTATTCTACTAGCAGCAGGTAATAATTGGGGTACCATATAAAGAGCTGAAAGGCTTAAGCATTATATTCTACTAGCTCTTAAAATTCAGAGATGTGCCAATTCTCTTAAGGTCTTGGTTTGTGGTAAAAGAATCTTTAAATACATAAAAACCATGATGATATTTCTTACATTTCTGTTTCTTTTTCACAAGAGCAACCTGTATCAACCTAAATATACTTAAATGTAACTTAATAAAGTGCGTTAAAACAACCGGAGCTGAAACAAAGTACCGAACATAACTGTAGCTGCAAACTAGAAAGCATACTTTAAAAGAACAAGAGAGGATTTTAACAAGGCAATAAAAGCAATTTAAAAAAAAGAGGTCCAACTTAAGTCTTGCTAATGTTGAAAGCTGAGGGAAAAAAATGTTTTTAAGCTTTAATGGTGGGGGGTGATTCATAAACATGAGCAGCAGCTGAAAACACTCTGCACTCCCCCCCCCCCGAATGAGATTTCTACAGTCACAAAATCAGGACTCAAGAAAAACATCATTCTCTGCAGAATTTATCACCATATTTTGAGGTGTCTGTTCTAGATTTTATGTATCTAAATAATAATTTTAGAAGGAGTGGGATTTATTGTTTCTGCAAGTTAAGGAGTTACTCCTCTGTTTTGAGTTTGTAAAAAGTTGTGCATATAGACCCCCCTCTTAGGATCTTAGGAGAAACCACTGAGCCTCTCCAGCAGAGATGGCTTAATGTGTGATTTTATTTCATTTCTTTCCTCATGCAGGGGCTTTGGCTTCGTTACATACGCGGATCAGGCCGGCGTGGAAAAGGTTTTGGCGCAAAACAGACATGAATTGGATTCTAAAACGGTAAGTTTTTTTTTTTTTTTTTTGTGCTTAATGGTTGGATAACTTTTTTCTACCAGCATGTTTTTTTTTATTTTTTTTTTTTATTCTTCTTCCTGCCTCTTTGTGCACTTTGCCTTCCACTGTATAGCTTGTAAAGTTCAGGAGTGTGTTTTTTGGAGCAGCCACCCTCCTCCTCCTTCTGCTTCTCCTGTCTGCTCATTTCCCCCCTCCAAATCCCGGTTCAGGGCGCCAACATGAAAGCGTTCTTTCTTGGTCTTCATTGCCATGGTTACCTGGGGGACCTGAATGGGGTAGCAGGAGCCCCTGCTAACACCCCTCACAGGTTTTATGCATGGCACAGAGCTCCCAGGAGTTGTTTCAGCTGAGTTTAAGAAGAGAAGGTTGTTAGTGTCGGATTGAAAACCAGTTCCCGTTCAGCCTGTGAGTCTTCATTTAAATATTGAAGTAACGATTGAGATACGAGGCTGCTCTGATTGGAAAGTTTCTATTTAAAAAAAAAAAAAATCCCATCCTTCACTCCTGCAACATTAGAATTCAAATGTAGGTAAATGGGACAGACGCTTTGCCAGAAAGAGGTCATGCTTGTGTTTGGTTTTATTAATAAATATAAGGCAAAAAAAGGCAAGAGAGGACGTGTGAATCCCAGCGGCTTGTTTCTGGTGTGACTCCAAGCTGCTGACTGAGATTTGAATACCCATGAAGGTGTGAATGTGGCTGTCTTGGTCATGTAGATTGGGTGTGGGACTGGGGACAGGGTGTGTCTTCGTCAGCTTGAACTCACACATACACACACACCAGCGGCTTCACAATAGGATCATTTGAGAGGGAAAAATGGTGGCACAGAATGGCAGCGGAACCCAGGGGTGGAGAAAAGGTAGACCTGGGTGCAGTTGTTGGAGCAAGTCTGTTGCTGGGGGTGACGCCAGCCTCTGGAGACGGTGCTGTAACAGCATAACCCAATGGGATTCATGTCTCCATAACAACTTCTCAGCTATTTTGCATTAACTTAAGGCGCTGGACTCAGTCGGGCGGCAAAGCTCTGACACACAGAGATAATGTCAAGTCATGCCAGACTTTCACTTTTTATACGTCTCATTATTTCTGAGCTGCAACTTACAAATATTTGATTTTTTTTTGTCTTTACAGCCGTTATTAGATTTATTACAACATGCCTGTTGCTGTGTTCGCTTCAAATAGGCCCTGAGCAACTGCAAAGAGTTACTCAGTGAGTCATATTACCTCTTAAAATGAGGTGCTGCTCAAGCTCCTGAAAGTCAGAACCCTGTGTGTGATTTTGGAAGCTCAGCTTGGCAGGTCGCTGGTGGGGATTAGATGTTGCTCTGTTATAAACCAAAATACTTTGCAGGGATGTAGCGATATGAAAAGTTAAAAACTGGAGATTCTGCAGCACAGCTGAGATCCAAATCTTATGATTTCATCTTTGATGGGCTCTTATAAGGAGGTAGAATAATGAAAAGGTGGGATTTTTTTCCACCAATCTATTTAAATCTCACAATGTTTTTATTTTTAAACACATCAACCAACAGGATGTGATTTCCAACAGAAAAAAACAGGAATCTAAATAAGAAAAAAATGGTGTCATGAATTTAGTTTCACCCATTTTTGTCCTTATATGTTAACATATGTTAAAAGTTTACTCTATGATTAATTGCAATTTGGCTACAGCTTTCCCTGCATCAAAATAACTCAAAAATGTCCATTAATCGCCTTATTTAGATCAAATGCGTGGATTGTGGGCCCTCTGTGGCCCTTGGAATGATGTTGGGCGTCCAATAACCATAGTAAAGACAATGGCAGTTAATGCAGATGAACTTTAAGCTGTTTATAGATAAAATTAAACATATTTCTAAAATGGTAAATTCTACATTTTCTCTTAATTTACCACTTGTTTGCATTCATTTTCATTATAAAGTCCAGAGGAGGTTTAAGAAATATTTAACAACATCGTGATTATCAGATATAAGTCTACCTGCTCTTTTATGCCCATCTATTAGTGGCTGAAATGCTAAAACTCACACTAGAGGAAATATAATTGAAAAACTGATTGAGTTTAAGGTGATGGTAAATATCAATGTAATATTCAACAACAAAACAACATTTACAGATGTCACTGATACCATGCATCATAAATGATGCGTATATTGTACCAAATTACCAAAGTATCTGTTTAAAATGTATGAAAATTAATAATAGAATTTAAGTGCTTATTTTTAATGTGTTTTTTAAATAAAATAATTTCAAAATAAATTCAGCTTGAACTGAAAGGAACCAAAATTAAAATAGGAAAGTGTTGAATAGGGAACAGATAGGAATCCTGAATGCAATCCAAAAATTAGTAACAAATGTTTGTAAAAGTGTTTTTTTTAAAACTTATCAGTAATAAAAAAAAGAGGGTTACAGAGAAAAAATCAAAGGAAAGCAAGTCAAACTACAGTTGTGTGTAAAGCAGCAGACTGCAGGCTAGCAACCTGGAAAAACAGTCCTGCCAGAGAAAACAGCTGTAACTATAAAGAGCAGGAAAAGAGAAAAGAATAACCTGTATACATGTGTTTACTCTATATCTGTAAAAACAACAACATGAGGATGTATAAATATTGAGATGTGAACTTTCATAAATGATTTTAGATTATTATTATTGGTTTGAATAAAGCCAGGTGGGCTATGTTATCAGAATCAGAAATACTTTAATTATTCCAGAGGGAAATTACTTTTGTTACATGCTCCAGATACAGAGTTCATATATATATATATATATATATATATATATATATGAATATGTATAGCTAAATCCAAGTAAAGTGATAGTGATGTGCAAAAACAGTGCAAGGAATGAATAAATGTCAATTACAGAGGGGGTGTCTGAATCACTTGAGGAATTTATTGGTATTTATATACATTTTTCTGAGGAGACTTTTTACTTAATTTTACTCCAGCGACTAACAGAAGCACAGTGAAGTTTATCACTAGTGAACAATAGAGTGCACGTCTAAAATTGTCCCCAACTAAACATTTGTTTGCATAAAGGCGTCCAGTGCACCATACCATCTCAGGTTGCTTCTGGTCTGTTTTTTTTTCCTTTTTTTTTCTAGTTAGGGTTGAGAATGTTGATATTTGTCTGTTCAGACTGTATTTGTAAAATCCATCTGCAGGGGTTTATATGTTCTCTCAGTCACGGCTTCCAGTAAGCCCATATAAAAAATTATCGATCTGTATCGATGGACATAAAGTTCAAGTGTAGCTTAAATCCCTGTGCTACTTTTTCTGCAACACTCCTGGCCCTGTAGTTATACGTCAGATTGGAGACAGACGTGACTCAAGGGAATGAGGAAGAATATTCGACGCTCAGGTGTTTTTGCCCCTCGGGTTGGCTGGCAAATACCACAAAGGGGCAAAGGCAGAACCAAGGGACGCTGTTTAACAGAGCAGCAGAACACACAGAGTGGGAGGGAAACTACATTAGATAGAGCAAGGTCCATGCCACTGGTTAAAAACATTATTAAACATTCACAATACTGTTACGTCCTGCTTTGCTTTTAATCATTCCTTAAAACGCTGAAAAGTCACAGGTGAAATTACAGCAGATCATTTTGAATCCACACAAGGTTGCTGATTGTTTTTCAGAGAGAGAGAGAGAGAGGTCTATTGAGGCTGCTGTTTTTGGTTGGAGGTTAGATTTCCTGTCGGGGGCAAAGTATTGCCTCGGGCCTGTGGTGTGCAGTTGTGTTCTTTTGGATGCGGAGGGGGCATCGCTGGTATGGTGTTTTGTTTTTCTCCACGAGATGCTTCATTGAAACTAGTTATAGGATTAGGAGGAGAAGGGAGCAGATGTTCCCAGAAAAACAAGCATCTCTGGTTCCAGTTACCCGTAAACCCAGTGGTTCTTTTTCTTTTTTCTTTATTTATAAGTGATTGATTGACGAGGCTTTTTGCAACCTCATGTGTGATGGCTTCATGCTGTTATTCCATTAGAGAGCATTGTCCTAATATATAATTTTATGAATAGAGGTGCACCAATCAGTTCTTGTGATTGGCAGGTTTAAGGATGAAAAGCCTCAATTTACTATTTCCTCTCATTAAAGATATCAAAACAACAATAAGAAACAAAATCCCTTAGTTGAAGCAAAATCTGGCAGGTCATACATCAAAGAGGAACAGGAAAACCCAATCTAAATACTGAAATAAACGAACAGTTTTAAAATCAAGTAACCCTAGAATAAACATATGTTTTAGATTGTTATATTTTTTTATGAATCCCATTTAGAGAAATCATAGTTTCAGATTTTTATCTAAAATGTTCTGAAAGAGCGTTTAAGCCCTTTTGTTCAGGTTACTGTTCCAACACCTGGTTACCAGAGCTTAGATGTTAGCAGTGGCCCTTCCACTGGAAGATTAGCTGTTAATGCTGACATGGACAAAACTGGAGCTGGGGGGTTGGAAGAGATAGGAAAGGAGGAGGGGGGGGAGGCTCAGCTCCTGTGCTGTAATTAGTATGGATCTGAAAAACAACTAATCGGATTGAAGGAAGCAAACTGGATTGGCCTTTTAAGGTTCATACTCGGATTTAGATCAGACCTGCTCTTAAGGTGGGCTCAGACTTCTGCCCACATGCAGCCCCACCGCACCCAGCCTGGTTAGCAGGGTTAGGGGGTTAGGGATAGGCTCGGGTCGCCGGGGCTCATTAGTGTGCTTCGTTAACTAATTACCGCTCCATTGTTCATCTGTGCAGGTTGACCCTGCTGGCCCCGACCCAAACCAAGTGTCCTTCTCTCACTCATTGACATGCCAAGTCCTCTTTGTCTCCTCTTGTGTTTATAGCTTTTTGCTTAGCCTATATTGATTGTGCCGCCATAATTTGGTGTCCCGTCGTGCCTTTTTCATCAGTGTGGCTGTTTGCCATTTAGTTGGCAAGTTGGCCGGTGTGTTTGGAAGAGGGACATCGTCATTAGCTGCTTAAGTCTGTGTTCCTGTTTGTTTGATTG